AGGTTGATTGGTTCTTACAGGTGAATGCTCCTGTCACACACACAGCCCAGGGAGGCGAGGGGAATCTGGGCTGGTTACGTAAGAAAGGTGTAAAATTCCCCATCATAGGACTCGGACTGTGAAAGTTCTGACGTTTTTGTAAAGGTGCCACCTCCAGGCCTGTAAATATAGTACCAGCGGGGCGGGGGAGGGGATTCTTGGCATTGATTGGTTCTTACAGGTGAATGCTCCTGTCACACACACAGCCCAGGGAGGCGAGGGGAATCTGGGCTGGTTACGTAAGAAAGGTGTAAAATTCCCCATCATAGGACTCGGACTGTGAAAGTTCTGACGTTTTTGTAAAGGTGCCACCTCCAGGCCTGTAAATATAGTACCAGCGGGGCGGGGGAGGGGATTCTTGGCATGTGCCCCCAGAGGGCTACGGCTCTAATCTGACCGCAGGGCAGGGGCGGTCTTTACTCTTCCGCCAGCAAGGAGCACTGTGGGATGGCAAGTACCAGTGCAGCAGTCATCCCCCCCAACCCAGTGACCTCTCTGTATCCATGGGCACCTCTGCACCCCCACCCACCTCCCATGCTGAGATGCAGTCACCTCCAAGACAGGGCGGCTGGTTATGTGGAACATAAGGTCCTTACTGATTGCAGGGTACAGCGCCCCCTACTGAGTCCCCTCCTCGCTGCACGTGTGTGCGCCTCCTATCCCAGGCCCCTCATCAGCCCCTATCGAGCTGCTCGCCCCAACACAGTAACCAACAGAGGTTGGATTGGAAGGGAATGAAAGAAGTAGGGCAAACCTCAAATGGTCCCGTCCACTGTCGTCCTGTCCTGGCCCCAGCACTTGGAGGTTCCGGGACACCCAGAACAGGGGTTTACATCTCAGACCGTCCTGGCTGATAGCCACTGATAGTCCTGTGATTCTCTCTTTGGTATCTGACCAGCGATGCCCAGCACCCTCCAGCAGAGGGTGTCTTCCCATCAAAAGGGGGTATTGCTGCCTCTGTTTGTTTTACATCTGCCGTGGATTCACTCCCGGGGTTAAAAGAACCAGGGCTGAGTGTGATGTGGGGGGTGTCAGAGTTGCTGCAATTTCAGTGCCAGTGACCCTCATTCCCAACCCACAACCCTGTCAGCCCAGCCTTGCCCCCGCTCCTTCCAAGATCTGCAGCACTTGGAGAGGTGCTGGCTATGTGGAGAGGTATTGATCAAAACCCATTGTTCCCTGGGCTCAGCAGAGTCAGAGAGAAAAATAACAGTTTGTGTTAGAGCTGGGGCAGAACCCAGGAGTCCTGGCTTCTAGCCCACCAGCCTCCACTCCCCTCCCAGAGCCAGGAAGAAAACCCAGGAGTCCTGGCACCCATCCCCCTGCTCTGACTCACCAGCCCCCACTCTGCTCCCAGAGCCAGGGTGAGAACCCAGAAGTCCTGGCTCTCAGCCCCCCTCCCATCTTCTCAAGGCTGGGGGGTGGGAGGTGGCTGTGCCAGGAGTCCTGGCTTCTAGCCCACCAGCCTCCACTCCCCTCCCAGAGCCAGGAAGAAAACCCAGGAGTCCTGGCACCCATCCCCCTGCTCTGACTCACCAGCCCCCACTCTGCTCCCAGAGCCAGGGTGAGAACCCAGAAGTCCTGGCTCTCAGCCCCCCTCCCATCTTCTCAAGGCTGGGGGGTGGGAGGTGGCTGTGGCCCAGGCCTGCCCACTAGAGGCGAGTTCCCTTTAAGACCCCGTGACGCGCGCTGTGATGCATCTGGGCTGAGTGGGGGGGAGCTAAAATCGGGGGGGGGGGGGGGGGCAGCCGCCACAGCACCCGGCCC